GCTCTTGACGGTATTATATATAATGGTAGTATAACTTGGCATATCAAAGAGACCAGGTCAGGATTTCACAAAGATTACAAAGTTTATTGTTATAGACTAACAACATTTTGAATATCTGTCAGAATTTTCTTCTGCCCATTTTGCACCCAACAGAATCAAGGTTTTTACTTTTATGACTTTCTCATCATGTCTTCCCCATTCTCAGATGTGTTTTGTTTTGCTTTAAATGCTCCTGCATATCTTGATCAAAATTTATATCTGCATTTTTCCGCAGTGGCACAAACATTTACTAGCAAGTTAATTTTAATTATAATTTAAGTTAATTTTTTTGAACTTAACATTATTGTATTATGGCAACAATACAACTATATTTTTTATTATTATTTTTAATGAACTGTTAAAATGGCAGTACCGTCATTGGGCGATTTTGGATAAGTGATGTCTGCAGAGGGGGGAAAATAAGTCAGACTAATGAAAGTAAAATTGTGTTGCAACGCTTGGCCCGCCCCTTTTCCAGATGTATCACAATATCAGATATATGCCTGAAAGAGGTGGAGTTTGCAGCCCAGTGTTCCATTCACAATAGCAGTGAAAGCTGGGTTGGATTCTTAACTTCAAGTACTTCATTGCCACATCACAAGGTGAGCTGCATAAAAGATGAGAAAGCATCCTTTATATGGAATTCCGCTCTTCTGTCATTGTTACATTTAACTACCAGTACCTTTTTGCACTCAAGAAGTAAGGTCCTTTGGGTCCTTAAATGAGGACTTGTAATCCCAGAGAACTTTTGAGAAGGCAAAAAAAAAAAAAAAATGACTTAAAGATAATTCTTTCAGGAACTGTTATAGTGAGAGATTTTTGCAACCTAAAGTTAGTTATTGGTGTACAACATCATTCTGGCTTTATAAATTTTTTTTACAGATCCTTACATATTTGAGTGGTTGTTCTATATTCTTGTCCTCAATGATTTATTTATTTATTATTTAGATTTGTATCCCGCCCTTCTCCCGTAGGATAAACAGGAAACATGTTTCTTGAGACCCAATAGTAAAATCAATTCATATCCTTGGGTTTAAATCATATGTGTGGCTCCTTTAGACTTAGGTTGCCACCTTGTGACCAGTGTTTGCAACAGAAAACCATAACTTTCATTGTTGGAAAAATCGATAAATTAGATTTTTCTCATGAACTGTGAACATTTGAAACTTTGCATTTTTGACCAATTTACAATGTATTCCCTGTGGAATAAACATCTTATTAGAACAGTACTGCCTTTGAACATGCTGTCTGCTGCTCTATTTCTAGCGTCCAGTATATCAGCCTGGATGTCCCTGGGAAAGATTGAGATCTTGGTTTCAAATGAGAAGAATCATTTGAATCATTTGAATCATTTCCTGAATTTACCACTTTCCTTCTCTTTCTTGCTATGAATCTACTGAGGTTTTTAAAGCTTGCATCAAAGTAAACGGTGTTTGGATCAACAACTTAAGATATGCTGACGATACAGTTCTGCTTGCCAGTAAGCGTGAAGACCTTCAGTTCCTCATCAACAGAGTCACAGAAATATCTGAAAAATATGGCTTGAAGCTTAACACCTCAAAAAACCAAGATCATGGTCGTCAGCAAAGAACCCGTTAATTTACCACCAATAAATTTGGAAGGAATACCATTAGAAAAAGTTGAAAGGATCACGCACCTTGGTTCTAATTTACATCAAAGCTGGGATATGACGATAGAGAAAGCTCGAACAGCATTCTTCAAAATGAAAAAGGTCTTCTGCAGTCATGACATAAGCCTAAGACTGAAAATCAGGCTTGTCAGATGTTATATTTTTTCTATCCTGCTCTATGAAGTAGAGAGTTGGTCTCTGACAGAAGGCCACCTGAAGAGACTAGAAGCATTTGAAATATAGATTTACAGGTGGCTGTTAAGTATAAGCAGGGTTGACAAGATCAGAAATGAGGAGGTGATAAGCCTCCTGGGAAAGCCAAGGAAAATCATCAAAACAATTAAAAAACGAAAGTTAGAATATTTCAGATATGTGATGCGACACCCAGAAAAATACAGTATACTCCATTTAATTCTCCAGGGAAAGATTGAAGGCAAACGAGGTCTAGGCAGAAGAAGAACATCATCATGGCTTCAAAATCTAAGGGACTGGTTTGGACAAAACTGAGCAGCATTTTTTCGTGTGGCTGCTGATAAAAACAGGATCGTCAACATGATCGCCAATGTCCGATAACGGATATGGCACAAGAAGAAGAAGAAGAAGAAGGCCTGCTGGGAATTATTATCATAATCTCACTTTCCTTGCGTGCCCATTCCTGCCACCCTCCAGAAAAATAGGTATAGATCCCCATTTTTCTCATTAGATGTTATTATGTCTCCATTGTTTATCTTGTCCAACAATTTGCAAAAGAAGGTTGAAGTGAAGCTGGCAAGACAGTAGCTTTTGATGGATGGTCCTGTACTGATAGGAGAAACACAGGTATATAAAACGAGTGAGCAGCTGGACAAAAAAGCATGGGAGATATTCTCTTTGTATACAATTACTGTAAACATGATAATTGTTGGCATGTATAGAGCACTTCTAAGCATGTCTATTTGTTCAATGGCTTTTATTAGGATTTATTCTAGGAAAAGGTGCATAGGATTACAACCCCCAACTCCCTTTTCCTGGTTTTTGGTGGTGTGCTGGTTGTGGGTGGGTGGGAGAGGTATTTTGTTCAAATGTAGGAACCAAGATTACTTTTAGAACTTGCTTTGCTGTTCTTTCTGTATTGTTTTTACAAGTACTAATCAACTTAATCAAGTTACAAAAGAAAGTGTTCCTGTCCCAGAAGATACCGGTGCTCTGTGCCTAATAATTTGCTTAGCATCATTGCCATTAACTATATAACTGCTTGTTTTCATTCTATTCATTTCCCTTTCTTTTACCTCTCTGCTCATCTATTTGCACCTTCCTTTCCATGAATTCCATCATCCACCCATTCACTTTTCCAAGTGAGACTGTCTGCTGTCTAACCTGTTCGAAATGATAGAAGTTTGCAACCCAGTCCTCAACTACTGGGATGCCCAGCAGGGAATCGAAAAGCAGCATTGCAGCAGATGTATCAGTGGTTTTCATTTTTAAAAAAATTCGCTACATGAAGAATCTGACCTTGCTGAAAGCTAATTATTACTGCTCTGTTGTTATTTGTTAACAACAATCTTTCATATCAGGATCTTTGATATAGGTCAGTGATGGCGAACCTTTTAGAGACCGAGTGCCCAAACTGCAACGCAAAACCCACTTACGTATCGTTGGGTGGGTGTGGCCCATTGGGTGGGTGTGGCCTATTGGGTGGGCATGGCCCATTGGGTGGGCGTGGTGGCAGTGGTAACTGCATACTGGATGGGTCTAAAGTTCAATCAATCAATTCCAACTTTGCAAGATCTTTTTTTTCCCGCAAGAAGTTGAAATTGATTGATTGAACCTTTTTTTTTTGCACAAGGTGGCGGAGGCCTAAAGCACAAAGGTTTTATAAAACCCAGCTGAAGGCTAGTACTGGGGCAATGATGCGCGTGCCCACAGAGAGGGCTCTGAGTGCCATCTGTGGCACACATGCCATAGGTTCGCCACCATGGATATAGGTTATTTATGGAAGATTATACGGAAATGTCAATTATTTCAGATAGCAAACTCTCTCTCTTCTAGCTCAAATGTTCCTTCTTAAAAGCAAACACTGCATTAGAAGGTGATTTAATTAAACATCTATAATAACCTATCAATTTCCTTTCATTTCTCATTACAAATTATTATATTTGCCTTTTTTTAAATGCTCTCTATATTTGGGATAGCATTCTTCCAGATATTCATATCTCTCCTCTCTCTTCTCCATTGATGTTGAGAAAGTTATTCTCCCTTACCTTGAGATTCAATGGTTGTTGACTCCTGTAAGGTTTTTGTTGTTGTGTATGGTTTTTCTTCTGTATGCGTATGACCTGTACTTTTTGAAATTCATTGTTCTTGCTTTTAAAGTGTAAACTCCCCAGAATGATCTGAAGTCAGGCAGCCTCTACATTGTATGACTAAATAAAAATAAAAACTATCATAGGGAGTTCACTGTCCTTCAATCCAATCCAAGGTTATTTGTAAATATATGTTCAGATCTTCAGAGAGGTTAATATAGCTTTAAAATATGTCATTTTCCCCTTAGTACCACTTAAAAATTCTAAAAGCAGGCTTGGGGTAATTATACAGATAGCCATCTAGTTGTGCAAACATAAAAAATATATCATTGAGTTGAATTTAGAAATGTTCAATGACTGAATAATCTCCACCGGGTTGTAAACTTCTCCTTGAGAATTTTGGATTTCCCAGTGAAGCCTGATAATAGAGTATATAGCCTCCAGTTACACTTTTATTCTGGGGCCTTAGTAATATTAGCAACTTGATTTTACTAGTTTGTGAGCCTTAGGCAATTACACTTTACTTCCTGCTCAGGGACTGTGAAAGGCAAGTGTTTCTGCAGTTCCTTACCTACCTACTATATAAAAAAATATGTGCTTGAACATATCACTGAAATTTTCTTCTTTACCGGTCCCAATTTATATCTATAAGCATCAAGTTGAACTGAAGTTAATGGCTTATTTTTTTTAAAAAAATGCATATTAACTATGTTAAATAATGCTATCTTCCTGTACCTCTCTCTTATATTTACACACACACATTACGTTGATTGCAATGAAGACATGACTGTGTTTGACTGCAGGTGTGAAAATTGCAGTTTAAATCCTAAATTTTGTTTATACAATAAACAGTGAAGCAATTATGCTGATTACATAGAATTACAGCCATCTGGCCTACATTCAAAATACAAAGTTTTTTTTTAGATCCAATATTGCAGATCCCTTTGCTTGGTTTTGTATTAGATTCACTAATAGCTCTATTGCTTCCAAGTAGAAGAGTAAATTCATTGTGCAGTCCTGCTAATGCATTTTTTCCCTTCTCCTTTTAGCCCCCTGTGAAGCCAACACATTTTTTTGCCATAGTAATATGTGTATTAATAATACATTGGTCTGCAATGGACTCCAGAACTGTGTATATCCATGGGATGAAAACCACTGCAAAGGTAATGCTAAGCATATGGATTAAATTTCCAGTTAATGCCACATTAGTTTTACTTTAATTATTTGAAACTGACTGAAGGAATATTTTCATGCTTTTCAATGAATGCATAAAATTGTATATTACCGAGTTCTAAAATTTGTTAGAACTTGTTTCAAAAGTTATTACAAAATAAATAGAGTGTTGAATACCTAGAGTGAAAAAGTCCTATATTTTCCCTGGAAAAGATAAATTGTTGGACTTTGATCAGTATTTGGATAGAGAAATTCTATCACTTGGGTTCCTCATTTTGTTAATGGTAGTTAATATTCAGTGCTTGTGAAAATATAAACATTATTAAAAGAACATTCACAATATAAACTCACAGTTATGGTGACTTATGTATTATGATTTGTGAAATTGCAATGCTTCAAGATCTTTAGAGCTATATGGGACAAAACTAGAGCATTGGCATGTGAAAAGTAGAATATATAACACCATAACAACGCGTGAAAAGTAAAAACATCCATCCCTTCTATGTGTGTGTCTTGAATGTGAATAGTAAAATGTATACACTTGTCCTTGTGTAAACCTGCCTTTGTTTCATGAGAAAGTAACTCAAAAACAGCAAAACAACTCATTTCTTTGCATTGTTTTGGGAAATAAAGCCAAATATTTCTTAAGATAAAATTCCAACTTCCAATGACAGTTAACTCTATTATACCATGTCTAAGTACAATTTTGTACAATTCATTGGTTTCTAATGTGAAAAATTGAAACCAAAACTAGAGTTCATGTTCAAGCTTTATAGCACAGTTTGATTACAATTGTTTGGCCATAGCCCTCTAGATTTGCGGATTTCTGTATCTGTATTTGTCTTCATTATAAAGAAGAAGAGGGATCATTTATTTCAGCAACAGCTTCCATGGTTATTATGCCTTTGAAAGCTTTTTTGGAGAGTGGTAAAGAATACAGGACATTATTCATTTAGGAAGAAATGGAAAAAGCTTGCAAAATGCTTCGCCTTAACTCAAAGCCAGCATAATGAGCCAGGCACAAGAAATTGAAGTGTAATTCGAACAGAAGATTTTAAAATGGCAAATAATCTCTTAGAAAGACAGTTACAATTTTATGTTTTCTTTGTTGTAAATGCAAATAATCTATTCACTAATTGACAGTTTTAAGTTCCTGAATGATTGTGATAGCTATTTAGATAGCTTTCTTCCATGCCTTAAATCTAACTGTTCAATATTAATGTTATGAGAAGGACAGCAGATTCATATCAATGTCTGATGTGGTTTGCTGGCTCTGTTCTACCAGTATCTTCCCAGAAAGTATAGCTGGCCTACACATTCAGAATTCTACATAAAGTACCTATCTATGCATGATTGTGAATTTGACTCAGATGTTTGATTCAATGAACAGATAAGGACTGGGCAATCATGTGATTCAGAAGTTGGAACAAATATACAGTTTTACTGTTCTTTTCAACAAGTTAGTTTCCTTTGGACAATTAATGAGTGAAGACTTGCCAATCAACCATTTGCTTTTTACCTTCCTCTTTTCAAAAGTGGTGCTGACAATATATATCATTATGAAACAGGTGAAATAAGAACAGATTAATTTTTACCATCAAATACTGTAGGCCACTGGATTATGAAGAGCATTTCCAAATATGCCACTGATCAGAAGTAAAAGTCCCTGCTAGCATGTCAGAAGCAATCAGAATTTATTATGAATATTAATTTTATTTAAAAGCTTTCTCTCTATCTCCTTGGGATACCAAGATGAATAAAATCTCAAAACATATTCATAGTGTGCTAGGATAAGTGGCAAATCATCAGTGTATTACTAATTTTAATTAAGAAGTGCAATATAAAAAGGACAGGATAAATTTTTCATTAAAGAGATTTGAATCCCAATCCTGGATTGTTTCTGAACTATATTAGTTCTTTAACTAGTTGCATTTAGAGAAGATTTGAGAGGGATGGCTTTTATGATAAGTTTTTGGAAGAGTTCTTTTAGAAACAAAAATGTCAAAGAATGGCTGAATTCTTCTCCAGAAAGTTCGAGCAGTACTGACAATGCAGGATAACACAGGCAAAACTCTTTTAAGAAGCTGTTACATCTGGCCCATAATGGAGAAAAGTTGGATAGTTCTAATAGAAATAAGTAGATTTTCCCAATTAATCCTGAGACCCTCCAGTGCTCGATGGTATTGCCCGCTTATCTTCACGTTATGGGAAATTGTCTTTATTAATCTCTGTAATGTACTTATGAATAAAACTATTAGAATTAATAGAAAAGACAGGCACACTTGTATCTGACTAACATTCACATTACCCAACATTTATTTTCCATTTAGATGCTTCTAAGAAAGTTACAAACAAGGCATACAAGATTATTTCCTATGTTTTCTAAATGTATAGTCTAAAATGAATCAGATAGGGATATAAACTCTTAATAGATAATTAGTAGAATGGAATTCAGAAAGAAGCATCAATGTCATACTGTATGCAGAAGACATATAAGTGTCTTGATAGTTAAATGTGTTGAAGCATCTGACTGGCCATGGCTGTAAATTGTGCTTCATTTAGACTGACTCTTGATCTAATCCAATGAACAATAAAACAAGCAAATAAATCTATAGCAATTCCTTTAGCTTTATCTGGTTGGTTTTTTGGGGTTTTTTTGGGTGGTGGTGGTCTGTAGAGCTAATTGTCTTGAGCTCCAAAAAATACCTCTAAAAACTTTTTGTATTTTTGTACAAAACAGTAGAAAACTGCTACATAAGTTTGTGTCTATGTGCAGTATATGCATATAACATATGCCTTCAGTGTCTCTGTTCAATATTGTATGAACCACATCAGTTTTATGAACACACAGCTGTTTATGTATCGACTTCCATGTAAGCTACAACTGAGTTCTAGCTTAGTTAGAAGCTGAAGCATTCTTGCCTTTATTTTGAATGTACAAATGCCTGAAAGGAAGTTGATATCATTAGACTTAAAGTAGTGAGAGATTATCCACAATACTCATATAGTGACTGTTCCATTTTCATAATGCCTTCATGAGTGTATGGAGGCTATAGAATTGGGAGGGACAGATTTCTTTGAGTAGGGAAAGTTTTAGTCTCATTTTTCAGGGGCTGGCTATATTCTCATCATGAAATCTGATTCTCTAGTCCTCCAAACTGAAACGCTTTCCTTGATGACACAATGCCCCCAAATCCTCAGTGATAAATTCATAGTTTCTTAGGTTAATGCATCTGCCTTCTCTTGGCAACCAGTCCTTTGGACTTTACTCCTGGTGCCCAATCTGTTTTTTTTCCCTCTGAGAAATACCTACTTGAGATGATGGCTTCTTTCAACTCCTCAGCTAGACTTTGCTGAAAACTCTTCAATATACTTTAGCTTTACAAAAATTAAGGCAAAAATTAGGCAAAAATTAAGACAACAGTTGATTGCTCACTGCTAATGAGAACATGTAAATGATTTTTATATCGTCAAGGATATCAGCCTGTAATTTATTTTCTTCTTTGACCAAATATCTATGGCCATACTGTATATTCACATAAAAATTATTTCTGGCCTAGGAACCACTCATTCCTGTCTTACTCAACTCAGCTCTCTTACCTAGCCTTACAAAAAAATAGGAAGTAATTGCTTAATTTGATCTAACTGATGTCAGTTTATAGACAAAATGTCTTTTAGAATAAACCTTGGCAGTATTAGGACTCAGTTTCTGCATAGTAATCATAGTATTATGGCTAGCAGAACATAGTAAATAAAATTCATGTTATTAGTATAAGTCTGTGACAAGAAGTCTATGAAGATGATCCTTTTGAATCTTGGATGGTGATTTGTGTTCATAAACCTTGGAATTGATCTTATTAAAAGAAGTACACAATGTACATAAAGTACATATTTCTTCTTAAAAATCGTATTTATAATAATTTTTGCTTTTTCTCCTGAGACACATAATTGTTAACTAACAGCAATACTTTAAAAAAATATTATGGTTGGGTAACATTGAATGTCAGTGATAAGGAAGCTTTTATGTTAAATTTTCCATAAATCAACATTAGACCAACTTTGATTCAATTCAAATTGAAAAAGCAAGGTTCAAAAATGGCATACTTCCTTTTTAACTCTGTACATTAAGATATCAATGCAAACCTATTTGACCTACTTTCAGATTCTAGGACCAGTTTTTTAAAAAAAGATTTGTCTATAGATATAATGGGAAACTTCACCCTACCTGCAGTTGTTTTATTTTGGAGAAGAATGGAATGAACATTCCAATGCCTGCTAAGGAAAAGATAATTAATTAAATTTTCAGTTTGAGAACCAGGTTATTATTTTAGGGAATTAATGATAAAAGGTTAGCTGTCCCCTCTTGGGGATCTCACCATAGTGGAGAAGTTTGGAAAGTCTCTCATTGCACTTTCAAGGATTTGATTAAATAGGAAAAAAAAAATCTTAGGTTTCATCAGATTGCACCAATTTTGTTATTTTGTTTGTATTTTAAATACTTGATTTGTACTTTACACAAATTCAAATTATAATTCACTGAAAATGACTTCTGACTATAAAATGACTGTATATCCAACTAGTTGACTTACAGAGGTTTTATAAGGCTGGAGCAAATCCAGAGAATTGAATTCAGCCCCTGATCAGCAAAATGCTATCCTGCCATAAAATTCTGTGTTTCTTGTATTCTTTGTTATATCAGTCTTCAGATATATTGGAACATAATTATCAAAGTGTCCAGGTGTATAGCAATGAAATCTATTGAAACATGCAGTTGCAACGCATCTGGACAGGTTTGGAAAGATTGAGAAAGAATCATCATGGTAATAGTCCATAAAACTAAATGGTCATTTAAAAAAAGTGGATTTTAATTTTGTCTTTTATTTTTTATTCCCCTTCCCATCTCTCAGAAAAGACAAAAGCCAGCCTGTGGGACCAGCTTACAAATACCAGTGGGACAATCATTGGGGTGACTTCCTGCATTGTGATCCTCCTTATCATCATCTCTGTAATAGTCCAGATCAAACAGCCTCGTAAAAGATTTGTCCAGAGGAAAGCAGACTTTGATCAAACAGTATTCCAAGAGGTCTTTGAGCCTCCTCATTATGAGTTATGTACTCTTAGAGGGACAGGAACTTCATTGGACCTTGCAGATCTTGCAGATGACTTTGAAAATTATCATAAACTCCGTAGGTCATCTTCGAAATGCATTCATGACCACCACTGTGGATCACAATTATCTAGCACTAAGGGCAGCCATAGTAATCTTAGCACAAGAGATACACCAATCTTGACAGAAATTCAACCCCAGCCTGCAAAGCCCCTTATCCAACCTATGAACAGAAGAAACATCCTCGTCATGAAGCATAGCTACTCACAAGATGCTGCAGATGTGTGTGAGATAGATGAAATTGAAGAGGTACCAACCACGAGTCACAGGCTGTCCAGACATGATAAAGCTGTTCAGCGGTCAGTATCAATAGATTTTTGATGAAGACTTTTGCATGAAGACTGGGTTCAACTCTATTTTCTATTTATTTATTTTTTCTAATATGCATACCCGTTTACAGTCCAATCATTGTTCGTGAGCTATCATTCTTCTTTTTCCAGGATGCATTTATGCATGGTGGAGGAGAGTTTGGTGGGAAGGGGGTGGAGGAGGAGAAGGTCCTTTTGGTATCATCCCATGAAAATACCCAAGTCAGTGATTCCGCTTGCAAAGAATCCAAAATGGTCATCATTTATATTTTTAGGCATTTACCAGAACTTATAGTCCAATCCATGACAATATTCGTTGGCAATTTTTGGCAGATGAAAATAGGTTCTTTCTATTTATATTCACCTGCTATTTGGCATAAAGTAGCCATGGAGACCATTATGGTACCAGTCTTTATTGTCTGGCTTTAAAAATCAAAAAATAATGAAGTTGAAACTTTCCTGTCTTTGACTGTTCACTAATCTAGGCTCTAAAATATTTTTTAGTTCTGGAGTGCAGCCTTCATCCTTTCCATAGATGCAAACACTCAAGAGCTAATTGTGTGGAGGGATTTATAGCATAGAAAGATCAAACAAGGAAAGAGTTAAGCAGCTATTCCTAGGGAGGCTTCTTTAATTTTTAAAGCAGCTAAAGAATACTGTTAATTATAATTAAGTTGGGTTTTACATGTACAGTATGTATGTATGTATGTATATGTGTGTGTGTGTGTGTGTGTGTGTGTGTGTGTGTATATATATCCTTAATAACATTAAAAATGCAAATCCTGGGCAAACACATATCAATAAAATATAGAAAAAAAAATGAACACCAGGATAAAAATAAAACAAACCTGTTTAATACAAACAAGTTTGTAAGTAAAAGAGTTACCAAGCTTTCATCGGCCCGACTGCCGACGTCATCAGGGTTGGAATGCTAGGTGATTAGGAAGCTTGCCTATATAGCTACCTGTCTCTGCGTCTGGCTTCTCGAGCGCATAATTGGCCCATTAGTTGTATTAATCTGCAACGTGCTAAGTTGATTCACATCCGGCAGCCTGTTGGTGGACCCGGTGGTTATGCCCAGATCCTCCATTACTTTTCTAGCCCGCGTGCGAGCGCCTGGGGGATAGGGGGCAGAGACAGCTTGACAGCCGTCCCCCAGGCACTCGCACGTGGGCTAGAAAAGTAATGGAGGATCTGGGCATAACCACCGGGTCCACCAACAGGCTGCTGGATGTGAATCAATTTAGCATGTTGCAGATTAATACAACTAATGGGCCGATTATGCGTTCGAGAAGCCGGGCGCAGAGACAAGTAGCTATATAGGCAAGCTTCCTAATCACCTAGCATTCCAACCCTGATGACGTCGGCAGTCGGGCCGATGAAAGCTTGGTAACTCTTTTACTTACAAACTTGTTTGTATTAAACAGGTTTGTTTTATTTTTATCCTGGTGTTTGTTTTTTTTCTATATTTTATATATATATATCACACACACATATACAAATATACACATATATACATATATATTTTATGGAAAATTCTAATTGCAAATATCCCATTGCCTGTCTGATTTTTTTTTGTTTGCTTGTTTGTTTTTGATTTTTCTAATACTATTCTATCATCAAAAATTGTCTATTCTATTTTCAGGAGTGTTATGGTGGTCTTATTATTTTAATTTCATTAAATATAAAAATGTATGAAAGAGTAGATAGACTTTCCCAGCAAAGACACTTTTGATTAAATTAAGGGCAGTTTTCTTTGAAAAATCAGCATGCAGAGCTGATTTCTTAGAGTTTGAATGTAATATGTTGTCCTTCCAAATTGTAGGGAGAGATAAATCAATCAGAAAATCCCTTCGTCTTTCATGTTTCTTTTATATAGCAAAACACAATATTTTGAAATATGATATGGTGATATCTGTAGTTGATCTATCATTACTTGTCTTGTTTATTTGCGATTTAGACTAGGGAATCATTTTTATGCTTTAACTTGATATTCTTTTAGATTTGCTTATGAAAAAAAAAACATAGCAGAGCAGAAGCTTTCTAAATCAATTCTGGCAGAATTACTGTTTCAAAGAAAATTATGGGAACTCTTTTGCTGTGAAATGCACCCTGCTTGTTAATAAAAATGCTTAAAAGATTATGAGTAAATATGAATTGGAAAATATTTACATGCAATGTACTTGGAAACTGCCAGAAAATTGTGATAGGTTTAGGCTCCACACACATATATTTTATTATTCTCCATATTGTTGTGTTCATGTGTTCAGTCTTTTCCATAGTCTACATAAAAGCTATCTAAACATGGGGTGTCTACAGGAGGAATAAAACAAGTTAAATTGCTGGATACAACTGTGTGATTGGAGCCCCATTATTATTATTTTGTCTGCATTGCTTGACATACCTCTCCTCACTGCAAACACCCCAACCCCAAATTCTCAGAGCACTTTGTTAACCAAGCCATTTTAATGGACTAATTTTAGAGGGTTGATAAAGTTAATAAGAGCATTATTATGTTTATTATTTCCTACCAGCCTACCAGTTTTAGATATCTTAAATTAATTTTATCTGAATCTTTAAATATGTTTCAGTAAAGGATGTATATGCATGTATTTCTTTTTTTCCTATGCAAACATTATTATGTTGAATGAAATAGCCATAACATTCCAGGTTCTGCCTCATTGGGTCTCTAAACAAACATGAATCTGAGTACAACACAACTAGGGTGTAAAAGACAACTGAAGGTAAGTGAACTAATACATTGTTCCCAATTCACCATTCCTGCATTCCATTTATTTTCTTGGGAAAAAAATCTGAGATCTTTTTATAATTTGTTTTTTGTGGTTGTGTGTTTTGGCTTGTTTGAAAAATGTTGCTAATCCCCGAATGTACAAAGAATTTTAAAGGATTTTCTGTAATTTCAATAACACATACAATTTATTCAGTCACTTTCCTCAGTTCCATTATAACAGCCTGCAAAATATGATTTGGCATTTTAAGCTTGATTTTTAAGGTTTGGCATGACCATTCACTTTGATTGTTACTCTTTTAAAATCCAGTGTTTAAAATGTTTCAAAAGGTAATAACTTCCATTCTGATACACACTATAGGAAAATAGAGAATCTATCTTTTAGAACTATCTATAGTCATAATTGACGGCATGCTTATTTTAGAAAAGTTGAATTAATATGCAGATGATTTCTTATTTATCCTCACAATTCACTGAAGCTGGTTTTACTTAAAGCCTATTGGCCATCTTCATGAAGTAGGAGTTTGAACTTGTTTCTTATTGAAATCCTTGAACTCTTTTTCATTTTTCCATTCTCCATAATATCCTTGTTAGGTATTTATTTTGAGTATTATGAATGGCATTTACTGATGCATTATTGTGAATGTACTTACCCAACAATATACAACCACATTTGGCTATAGTCCAAGATCTTTAGGCAAAAAACACATTTTATTTTACTTAATTAAAATAAATTAATAGAATAGATTTAATAAATTCTTTGTCCCTATAAATGTAATAATTTTGCCCTGTGTCACTTTGCAAAGCACAAGTTGGTGGCATTTTTTGGTCCATACCCCAAGGTTTTGGAGGATGCATATGATCCAGGAGTTCAGGTTTCACATGATTTGTGACTGTTGAAAAGATGAAGGAAACAAAAACCTGTAACTAAATGTCTGACCTGGGTAATGAACTACAAAGGAAGTGCAGAAAATTAATTTCTGAGACCCATCAGGAAAAACATCCAGTGTCTTATTCCTGATGTCAAAGTAGAACTGATCCTACTTCTCATTATGCTGTACACAAGTGGAAATCAGGCTGTTTGGTTAATACCACTTAAATGCACTGCCAGATTATGATATGATATGAAAACATAGGAAGCAGTTTCCATGTGAAAATGTAACTCACTTGTTTCATTTATACAACCTTGCTGTTTCATTTTGCTAGCAAGAAATACGTTTTCTTGAAAAATTCAAAAAGGGTTTATATTTTTGTTTTTTAATTTTTCCACAATTAGCATATTGACTTTCTGCTCAAAACCATACCTGAAATGCCACAAAATCAATTATTTTAAGTTTTCAGGGGAATTCTATACACTTGGTTTTCCCTATTGAAAATAAACTAGGAGATCAGCCTACACTTCAGAAGTAGCATATGTAGAATATGTAGGCATTTTCAAACTTATGTGTATTAAGTGAAGTTTAACATTGTGGTTATCACTGAACAGTAAGATACACCTAGAGGCATATTTGGAGGAAAAAAGGTGCAAATGCCACTGTTTCATACATGCCAAAATGAAAAATGTTTAATTTTAGTGCTCCTAAGTTTATTTGTGTGTAATTTATTTTTATTTGAAATATATTTTATTTGGAAACTGATTAATAGTGGTAGCTAAAGCTATAGCTTTCTTTTATACATTTATATTAATTTGTCTGCATTTATATGCTCTATTTTTTACATGTGAATTTATGTGTGTGTATGTGTACATATACATACATACACAAACATACACCTATTAAAAAATTATTCTTGACCCTGGCCAATAAGTCTGCTCAGTGGTCAGCTGTTCATCCCTTTCTCTAAATTACTGTGCTCATAAGTGTTATTTTATCCAAATTCTAATAATCAGAAATGATATTCTATATGTGACATGGCTTCACATGTCTTTTTGCCCTCAGGTGGCCAATCACAAGTAGTTTTGTTGCTGCAACCCTTAAAAAAATCCTAACCCTTCCAATGGACAAAAACATTTGCTCCATCTTCTCTAGGTATATCATTAATCCCTTTCAGTGGATGGATGGATGGATGGATGGATGGGTGGATGGATTTTTAGGTCTAAAGTACAAAAGCAGACTCATGTGAGCAATTTCCATCCTTTTGCAGAGAACCAGCTTCCAAATAAATCACATTTCTTTTCATGGTTGAATTCATGGTGTCTTATCAATGTAATATCTTTCTTATGGTACAGTATTTTACATATTGTGTCAAACAAGATTCTTTCTATTGAACCTGTTATATGTGCATTGTTTTCATTATGTAGACTGCTTGAGAATAGTGCATTCCGGGGTGATTTTGAATAGACAACAGTGACTTATGAAAGTATCAGCTCTGGAACTACAAGCTAGAGATGTTCTGGACTCCAATGAACTACTCCAGTTTCGTGAAAAAAACCCATCAGTCAATAATAAGCAAAATTAATGAATGGCAATAAGACCCTTATTACTATATTTATTATTGTAATCATATTTTTCTTTTATATTGTTATTTATTTTATTATTTGATTACAAAGAAAAGTTATCCACTTTCAGGAACAAATGATTAAATCAGGTATTTATGAATTCATAACCACTTCAACAGAAATATCAGTTGAAAACGTATCTAATAATGTGGCAGAAGGTCACACTGAGAAATTGATCTGCATGTATGTTGCCGAATATTTGAATCGGCAAAAAAAAAAAAAAAAGTTTGAGATTCATTGTAAAAAGCATGCATTCATACTTACTGCTATTCCAATCCATTTCTTTGTGTCATATGCTTGCTAATTGTAAGTTTTTCTATAATGTTACATAAAACAATGTATAATAATTTCTTAAACTGAGTTTTGCAGTAGTCTTTTATTTACTCTAGCAGTTAGGTAAGGATTCATAATGGATTTATAGTACATTTGCTGGGTCACATCTAAGTGTACAATGATGAATCATTTTTAGTAGCTGAAATTCTGAAAGTCATCTAAAACAGGGCTCTCCAAACTTGGCAACTTTAAGACTTGTGGACTTCAACTCCCAGAATTCCTCAGTCAGCATCCTGAAGTCCACAAGTCTTAAAGTTGGCAAGTTTGGAGATCCCTGTTCTAGAAGGGAATGAAGCAAGTACGAATAAATACTGAATTTATCTTTAATTTCTCCCCCAAAAAACCCAAGTAAGATGAGATTTCTGCAATATCTTTGTTTTTGTGTTATTTCTGTTCTTTCTGTACTTTCAGTACTTTCTGATAGATTACGTTAGGAATAATGTGTGTTGTCAATACCTTTCCTTATGAATTAGAGAATTCACATGCCATTTGGTGAAAATTTCTGTCTCAGTGTTGAAAAACAATTTTGCTAGAACTTTTATTTAACCATCCCAAATGTTGCATAAGCTCTTTATTCACTTTATCAATGTGACATATTATCTGAAATGTTGAAAGTTCAAAAACTGAAGTTCACAGATGTTGAAATCTCAGAATCATTGTGGTTTTGAAAGGTACACACAGATGGGTGACAGCTCTCAGATTCAAATTAAAACTGATGATAAACTATCAAATATTGTAAATTGCTAAATGTAGTCCAGTGTTGAAAGTTATTATAGATTAATTGCAATTATTTAATATTTGTAATTTTTTAAAGTAAATTTCTATTACCTCGAATAGCATATTTTTTAATGTGTGCTTTGGAGTAACTACTTTTATAAACGAAGCAGTTGAGTAAAAAGTGTTTGTTTCACTGGCTTCAAAGAACAGAAGGCATTCAAAATAACTTTAAAAATATATATTCACAAACAAATCTCATGAAATTCACTGGCACTAATCTTAAAGTCTGTGACATGTGATTATGCTTCCAGTATAGAGTAGCAGTTATGCTGCATGAGGAAAGAACGGATTGTTTTATATTTTTGTCTATTTATGTAAATTTTATTAGCAGTAACATTGACTTAGGTTTTGAAGCTTCTACTGCAAAGAAACCCCTCTTTTAAATAGTCAGTTCCCTTGCATTTAAATTGAACATTGCATAGATCGGTGAAGTGGGGAGTTATGGAGTTTTTGGAAATCTTGGAATAATAAAAAAGTGCACTTTGTATTTCTGGTGGGCTGTGGTGATCACTATTCAGTGTTTAAAATGTATGGCCTCGCTTATTACAAGTCTTTGATGCTATGTCATGTCATGAAAGATGGCTACAATATGAAGAGAAGTTTCCTTGAGTTTGATTCAATAAGCCAAGCTCTCATTGTAAAAAGAACAAACATCAAACTCATTTCATCAATGCTCCTCTAATTTGCTCTGGCTTCTCAAAAACCAGAGGAACTTTTTAATTATTCAGAATGCTGCAAAGGCAAAGCAACAAGAAGACTTCGAGAGAAAAGACGCCAAATGCATTATCCTTTAATCAATTAAAGAAAGAGAAAGTCTGTTGTCTGCTGGACTGCAGGATAGCCTAATAAAGAATTTAAATGAAGATGTTTAAGTATGGTAAGTAGTTTCATATACGCTCATGCATGTTTGTGCACTTTTTGTGGTGAGGGCTAACTTGACAATGAATGTTTAAACCCAATGGTATCTGAATTGTTTACAAAAACTTTGGCTATATTTGAAAAAAAAATATCTCATGTAACTGGTACAAACATGTTTTCATTATGATGCACTTACATGCCAATAGTATCTTAGATTAAAAAATACCTTTATATAAACAAAAGCCTTCTACAATTAACTAGTAGCTGATCATTGCTCAAAACTGCATAAATAGATGAACCATCTGTAAATATAAGAAGGACCTCTAGCATAATCTTTGTTATCAGTTAGGATAATATTAAAGCAGCTAGCCATGTGGTTCTGTGGGATGATATCTCACACAGATCAGTTTTTCTGCACCCATCTTCTGAGGTTTCTACTTCTCATTTCCATGGGACTTTCTATGACTTCTGGAAGCTACTAAAAACCCTGTTACCGTACCTTTTGGTTTAACGAAAATTGTCCTGGTTTGGCACTTAGCTTCCAGCCTTGGCTGTAAGTAGAACCATACTAACCTGCAATAGAGAATTGTTGGTACAGACAATTTACAATGTTACAATTTATTCTCCCCTTCAGTTTGCACAACCAGAGTGGAAGTGGATTGAAAAGGCTAAACTTGCAGTCTGGCCATTGCAATTCCACATGCAATGATGTCTATAGAAGCAGTGGTTTAGCTGTCTGTCAGAACTGACTCCCCCTTTGCCTGTGTAATTTTGAAAGAGCATTAAAGTCCCTGTTAGCCTGATGATCATGACCTAGTTTTGTTGAGCCGTGGTGGTGCTGTGGTTAGAATGCTGTATTGCATGCTAATTCTGCCAACTGCCAACAGTTCGATTCTCACCAGCTCAAGGTTGATTCAGCCTTCCATCCTTCTGAGGTCAGTAAAATGAGGTCCCAGATTGTTGACTGTAAACCGCTTCGAGGGCTGTAAAGCACTGTGAAGCAGTATATAAGTCTAAGTGCTATTGCTATTGCTTGGAAAAAAGGAGAATGGTTATAATGTTTGATATTTCAAAGTAGCTCAAGTTTTGTCTTAAGCATGTTGTTGTTTTGCAGCAGCAGTTTTAATTTTGTTTTGCTATAATCATCCAACTGCCTGAGTTTGCCATTACCAGATTCATAAAGACCAATGTATTTAAGAAACGGGAAATTAATAAAACTAAAAATAATTATTTTTATTGCAGTGATATTATCCAATTTGTTGGCTTAGCTTAAATATTAATTATAGCAAAATCCAATGTAAAAGTAAATTTTGACTGCGCAACTAATCAGGCTGATGTAAATCCTTTTGTGATAGATGTCTATTTGTTACATGCTGCAGTGACCATTCTTCATAAATGGTTCTTGCTGGTGTTCTTATGAATTTCATATTAATTTTTGTTTCAAGGAAAGGACAAATTAGACTTTCACACTTACCACACTTGTGTTTTATGTTCTATCTCATTTTTCAGTCAGTATGCATTTTTAAAGGGCTCACAAAATTTGTATATGTTCTGCACATAAATTCTTTTAATATTTACTTTTTTTACAAATATTCTAAGGTCTTTTTGTATTTTGTTTCTTCCAGTGTACATCACAGCAGTTGACAAGTGAAAAGTAAAGGATAATTAAATTTCAGGTTGTGTATTACTTTGTGCGATTACTCTTGGTAATATGAAAATGTAAACCAAAGAAACGTTGCCCATTAGTTTTTGTTTATTTTTATTTTTCAATATATTATGCATATGTTCACTTGGCATCAGTCAAGTTATGCATCTAGCAGACAAAAAGAACCAATGGCATAAATATGGCATTGCAAGCCCTGAAGAGATAAGAATATTAGTTGGATACTCTTCATTGCAAAACTTTACACAACCTATAACATACAATTATTTATCCTCAGTGCTAATGCTACATATCTCAATTCTCACTGATTATTAACTCATTTGTTGGTTTGATCCACATATTGTCACAAGCAAGAAGAAGAATGGAAGGAAGAAATTGAACATCATAACTGTGAACCATAAATATGATAGGCTTTCCAGAAGCTCTTTTGCCCTTTAAAATATTCACCTGCAAAAATTCAGGGCTGTTCTTTATTGGGTTTATATATTACTTTTCTCTACCCCATGCATTATTACAAATATCCTTGAAATGCAATTACAACAGTATCTATGGAGATTCTCAGTCATCCCGGTCATGCTTTTTCCATAAGTCAATATTCTCATGAACTGAAGAAGCTTCTTGGATGAAAAGCAAAACGTTTTCAAAGCAAAAAAAAAAAAAAAAACTCAAGGAAGTCCAATTGCCTTTTGCAGAAAACACCAATTACGGCAGTAACTCCTTGTTCTCACATCTTGCAACAAGGAACATTTGTTCTTCAATCTTTTCAAATGATATTCCAACATCAGGTATAAGATGAAATATAAACCTAACAGATAAATAAGGAAGTCATAGTTCTGATGGTTCAGTAGAACACACCATGTTCTTAGGTAACCGGGATGGTAGTGCTGCAATACTGTTCCTTACCTTTTTGTTCAGTAATATTCAAAGGAAGTATGTTGTCATATGAAAGGCCCACTCCTGGTAGCATTTCTTTTTTCAAGGATAAGATGGTGTAAATTTCTGCATTATAATCTCTTGACATCACTACATAGTAGGAAATGAATCCTGCAGTCTCCACCATACGAAGATAGCATTTGGAATGAGACCCATTAAAATTGATCATGAGAGTGTAAAAAGAACAAACCAGCCCTCGGACACCAGTGCAGTGACTATATAGGCCCTGTGAAATGGTAGAAAATCTGTCCCTCAGGCTAGTCTTTGGGCTATAAATCTCCCTATTCACCGTACAATCAGAACAGCATTAGCTATTAATAGGTCTTTTCAGAAAGAGTTATTCTAAAGGGACAAGAAAAGCCTTTATTCCTGGGCTATGTGATACTCTCTGCAAATTTACCTTCATTTGGCAATAAAGCATCTTT